TGATTTACCTCTTTGTTTATGGTCTGTAATTCCCTTATTTGACCCATTCTTACTCTATCCCATTGGCAATCATGTTTCATACCAATCTTTTTTCTTTGTTTTCATTCTTAAAAGTGTTTTAAATACCATTATATGCTATACAACTGTGTACTTGATTTTTGTCAAGCTTTTTGATGTTAATGTGCATTTGTTATATTACATTTACATCTAATCCCTTTTAACTGCTGTGGATATTAACTATGACTTCTCTATCTAGTCTTTGAATTAATGGCAACAGGATTACCTCAGATCTCCACCCTGTGCTCTTCACACCATCTGTACTAAAAAGCCATGAAAAAGATTTCTGTGTATGTTCCTTTATGAACCTGTTGAGAATTTATATGTATTACAGGGCTATCCAGAAAAACAGAACCAATAGATTACGTCCATGATGTAGATGTAAGAGGGAATTTTGCCAGGCCCTCTGATGCCCTCCTGTAATCCCAGAAGTTTGGGAGGGAGGCTGAGGCAGGAGAATTGTGAGTTCAGAGCTGACCTCAGAAATAATGAGGTGCTAAGCAATTCAGTGAGACCCAGTCTCTAAATACAAAATGCAAAATCAGGCTGGGGATATGGTTTACTGGTTGAGTTCCTGAGTTCAATCCCTGAGTAATTCCCCCCACCCCCTGCAAAAATAAAAAAAAAAAAGGGAATTCATTAGGGGAATTGACTCATGCACCTATGGAAGCTAAAAAGTTCCACAATAAGCTAGAGAACCAGGTGTCAGTAGCATGGTTCAATTCAGGTTGGAAACTTCAGAATCAGGGAAACGGATTGTGTAACTCTTAGTCTGAGGCCAAAGGCCTGAGAACCAGCAAGACCATTAGTGAGTGCATTAGCCTATGTCCTCGAATCCAAATTCCAGATAACTTGGAGTTCTGATGTCCAAGGCTAGGAGAAGAAAGGGGTACCAGCTCTGAGAGAGAAAGAGGAGTGGGAAATTCACGTTCCCTGTGTCTTTTTGTGCTGTCCTTATCCTCAGTCAATAGGATAGTGCCCGCCTACACTGAGTCAGGGCAGATCTTTCTTACTCGGTTCACTGAATCGAATGCCAAAGTCTTCAGGAAAAGCACCTTCACTACATATCAATAAACCATGCTTTGCCAGTTATCCGAGTACCCCTTAATCCAGTCATCTTTACGCTTGAAATGAATCAGCACAGGATGTGTTTAAAAAAAAAAAAGAAACATAATCACTCTGTCAAGGATTATTATGCTCATGCTCAGTCTGCCTAAGTAGTTCAGCTCTATTCGCCAGAACCCTGCTTCAGTCTCTAATCCACCAACAGAGAATGGAGACAACTACTATTACTATTATCCAGCACTCTACTATTAATCAGTCTAATAGGGGTAAAATGATCCTATTGTAGTTTAAATTTGCATTTATATGGTTGATATTGATTTTGAGGGTCTCTTCTCATGCTTGTTAGTTTTTGTTTCTTTCACCTGTAATCAGACAATTTATATCTTTTTAAATGTCTCCATACATTTGCGTTGGTCGTCCTGCTTCCATACAGAATTTCCTAGTAACATTTGAACATCAAAAATGGTTTCTCTTATATTATTAGTTATCTACTGTTCCAGGTGTCCTTAGTTGGATTAGGAATCTTTATTTATTTATTTATTTATTTATTTATTTATTTATTAGAGAGAAGAGAGAGGAGAGAGAGAGAGATTTTTTTTAATATTTATTTTTCAGTGGACACAACATCTTTATGTGGTGCTGAGGATCGAACCCAGCGCCCCGCGCGTGCCAGGCGAGTGCGTTACCGCTTGAGCCACATCCCCAGCCCCAAATCCTTATTTTTTAGATAATCAATGTCATCAGGTTTCTACATAGCTGATTATTTTGAAATTCTAAGAAGTTCTTTCCAGTCATCACTTCCCAAAATAACCCCCTAAATTTTCTTTCCATTTGTAGAACTTGCAGTAGAAGAATGTGTGGCGTAACATGCATACGTTTTCTGCGCATTAGAACTAACCTTAGAGAAAAAAAAATAAAAAAAACCAAAAAGATTTACCATGGAGTATAGAAAAAAACCCCATTACAGAGGAGGCTGAGGTTGCTGTCATTAGCAAGTAAGTTTGAACGGATGGTATCAGTGAGTCTTAAAGAGAGAGGTCAAGAACAGTCACTAAGAACTAACTTTAAGGGCAAAGGAAAAAAAAAGTAGAAGCAGACAAATCTCCATCATTATGGGAATAGAAAACCAAATTCCAGTTTATTCAGACCTACAATATTACCTGCATAGAAATTAGGAGAATGCAGCACACAATATATCCAACCATGAATAAATCTCAAATACAGTATGAAATAACATAAAATTGCCTACATTAAAACACAGTATAAACCACTGAAATGTATAAATCACATTGTTTCGAATTTTGTTTTAGAAATAAACTGCTGGAAAAGTTTCCACAAATAATGGTGGAAGGGATTTTTTAAAAGAATTGGGAAGACAGTTTCATCTATTAACATCTTATTAAAAAGAGATATTTGAAACAAATAAGACAAAATATTAATAAATAGTAAATTTGAGGGAGGAACCACACATGTGTCTTTTGTATACCTTTACATTTTTCTACGTTTAAATTATTTCAAAATTAAAAAAAAACTTCAAAAACGAAGATTGAAATCATAAGCAATTCATGAAAACACTGTGTTTTAGAAAATGATAGTTATTGAAATGCAACAGCACATGTTTAATAGACCCAGCTGTTTAGCTTAATTCAGCTGCTTGACTCTGAAATGAGTCTCTGTGTTCCAATACTATGGAAGATACAGCGAAGCACAGGTTGATGATACAAAGGATGATATATTCAGTTAGTCTGAATTATACTTTTGGGGCATATATGAAGGTTAGGTACATTAATTAGAAAGTTAAAAAAACCTCAATTAAAAGAAGCTCTTCTTCAAAAATATGCAGAAAGACCTATAACACATCTCAAGTGGCGTCCTGAGTTTCACATTAGGAAGCAATTAGACATATAATTGAATGCTGGAGAAACAGATGAGTTATCCAAAATGGTGAAAAGAAATCAAATGAGTGTCAGTTCTCAAAAGCTATGGACTGAGAATGCTAGAAACATAGCTCTGCCTCCTCTAATTCCATGAATCCCATTTACTTTATTTATTGTCAAACACCCAAGACCTTTAGGACCAAAATTTTCAAAAGTATCTGAAGCAGTTTTCCATAGATTTCTTTCCTCCCAAACCATTCTACTATGTGTTTTGAACCCATCATCTATAATCAGCAACTGATCTGGAATTCTTTAAACCTTCCCTCCATGTCACAATATCCATGTAGTTCCTTGAGAAGAGATTGTTTATTCTCTTAACCTATATGTGCCTCAAGGTCTGGAAGAGAACCAATATTCTTTTCCTTCTCCTGCTTCCAAACCCTTAGCCCAGGCCATCAGACTTCCCATCTGCTACTCTCCGAGGTCACTTTCACCTTCTGACTCTGTGGTTACTCGTCTTCATTGACAGATTGTTTTAGTTCCGGATTTATTATCTCCTTTTGTACTACTATAGGTGATTTCCAAATTTCAGTACTTATTTCTCTCCAGTCCTAACTTCTTCATCACCCAAAATAGATTTTTTACACCCACATCTGCCATCTAGTCCTTAAAACTTAGGGATCACTCATGACTTCACCACTTGGAGAAAAATCTCAGTTTAATACTTTCTATTCTATGACCACACCTCCTGGCCTTCATGCTCATTTGTCTAACATTTCTTCAACTTCTAAAAATCCCATTGAGCCCTGTAGTCCATTGATCCTATCGTTTCCTCACGACTGCTCACCCTTGTTAAATCCCCTCTGTCTTTTCTTAGATTCTGTGAAAAAGAGTTACATATGTGGGCTGTGGTTGTGACTCAGTGGTGGTGCTCTCACCTAGCATGTTCAAGGCACTGATTTCGATCCTCAGCATCACATAAAATAAATAAATAAATAGATAAGTAAATTAATAAAATAAAGCTATTGTGGAAAAATAGAATTAAATATTCTGCTTTGACAATATTTCTGGTTCTCTTACTTTTTTCACTTTGTGTTACCCTAGCCTGAAAAAAAAAAAAAAAACTTCAACTATAGTTAAATTTAACTATCACTTCTTGAAAAAATGGATACTGATGAATGAAAAGCACAAAACCAAGCTGACTGGTCTCACTAAAAATTCTTGATGACGTGTCTCAGATGAGTCCTCAACGCTGCCTGATAATTCATAATACAGCTCTACTTCCCCAAACTATTTTTCTCCTAATTCCTCAAATAACTATTTTATAGCCTTTAGTGTGTCTTTGAAATTCCTACAGGATGCCCTCCCTCCAACCAACAGTCCATTTTGACTTTGTTGCATACTTCAAGGGGTCATGGGGAAGATAGAGAAGTCGATAATGAGGGCTTTCCCTTATCCGACCATCACCAGCATACAGCCATCCCCTCTGCCATGAGAATGAAGTGTCCCTGCCCTACTAAGGGGCCACATATCCTTATTCCCCTAAATCTATTACCACCACCTAACAATAATCCATGATCACCTCCTGTCACAGCTTCCCAACAACTTTCTTCCTGTTTTTCCAGGGTCTTCTATCTCTTGGCCCTCTGTCACTTATCAGGGATCTTTTAAAAACACCTCATCACACCTGCTTAAAATTATACAATGACTTCCGAACACAATAAGTGTACCATCCAAAATCTTTCTTTTGGTTTTAAAAAGAAGAGTCCTTGATTACCTGTCCTGCTTCTGCATCTGTCATTGTCCTCACTCTGTCCAGCCATGCATTCTGGGGTGATCAGCCCTTATTGTTACTACTCAAAATGCTCGTTGCTTCATGTTCAGAAAGAAGGACCCTCCTTGTCCTTCAGATGCTGGGCTGGAAAATCTTCACTGACTACCTCCATTATAAAGTAACCTGACTCTAATTTTCTATCACTGAACCCCTTTTAAATCTCTTAGTGGAAATACCAGTATCTGAAATCTGGAGGAATACGACAAGGGAAGGAGATCCACAGCAGATGGCTACATGGGGCAGAGCTGTTGACAAGTCACAGCCCTCTTGAAATAGGAGTTCTTGGCTGGGTTGTTCTCACAGCAAAGCTGAATAATAACCTATCATGTTAGGGTCACTCTTAACAAAAACCCCAGGAATGACTTTCCTTCTGAAACTCAGCAAGGACAAAACGACAGAGGAGAGAACAGTCGTGCCAACTTTAAAGGAAAGGTGGTTTCCCGGATGGTGATGACTGTGCACATCCTATGCTCTGTCATTATGCCATGGCAGTGGGACTGGAATGAGAAGCAATCGAGTGAGAATCATGAAACACAATGAAAAGGTGAAATGAGCCTGAGTGCCAAGAGCCTTAAAAGTAATTTGCTGTCAACGTACCTTATATACAATCAGAGATATGATAAATTGTGGTATAAAGGTGTATTAAGAATTGTAATGCAATAATAATAATAATAATAAGAGAAAAAAATAAATATGTAAATGCAAGGACTAAAAAAAATACAAAAAAAGAGCATTTGCATTTAAAGTTACATATAAGGTCATTTCATTTTATGGTTAACATATGCCTGTGTATTATTAAGGAATAAAAATAATATAATCATAATTAATAAATATTTATTTAATAAAAAAAGTAATTTGCTGGAGGTAAATGAAGTAGCTTGAATCTTGGAGCTACTTTGAGCAGGTACTAGAAAGCCTACTCTGGAGGAAGGTTGGTGGCCCCAGTAAATAGTGAAGAGACTGCAAGGAAGTAAATTGGAATGAACTTTTTGAGATGTGTTGAGGACGGGAAGAAGATAACAAAAAAATTGGTTATTTCTAAAGGAAACATCTAAAACTGGATATATTTTTAAAAGCTTTCTTTTTGTTTTAATCCATGCTTCAAAGACTATAATATTCTCCTAGTTCTTAGATTATTAATGACACCAAAGTAGGAGAAAAAAAAGAAATGTACCATAAAGGACGTGTAAAGGAAAGACAAATCACACTCAGTTTCTTGTAGGCACAATCTGATTCCCTGCCCAACCCCCTTTTATCTTTTACTGAACAAAAGCGATATGGCATTGTTTCAGAATGGTAATACATGAAATAGAAAAATTAGTTGGGTGCGGTGGCCCATGCCTGTAATCCCAGTGGCTCGGGAGGCTGAGGCAGGAGGATCATGAGTTCAAAGCCATCCTCAGCAATGGCAAGATGCTAAGCAATTCAGTGAGACCCTGTCTCTAAATAAAATATGAAATGGGCTCTCAGTGGTTCAATGTCCTTGAGTTTAATCCCCAGTATCAAAAAAAAAAAAAAGAAACTTAAAGATTATCCTAGTGTTTACTGTGTTTCTCTCCCATTTCCCTATTTGCTTACCATTAGTCACCCTGAATGCTTTGCAAAAAGTTGTTCACCAGCCTGGCTGTCAGTCAGTCACTTATCTACTCCTTAATGGTCTCACATAACTCCGCTTCTTGGGCTTTTAGACAATCTCTCAAATATATCTCTTTCTCTAGCTTACACTTGTCTTTTGATCTTTGGCTCTACATACACACACATCAATCTATCTATACTTTCTTAATGCAGTTGAGTTAGAGAATGTATAGTAATTATTACTTTTTAAAAATTAACTTTCTTGAGATTGAGATCTGGAAGAAAGTATGAGAAATATCCTAGCTCATAAAAGTGAGGAAAAAAATGTTTTTGGGGGGCTACCCAGGTAAACTGAACATTAAACCATGCCAACTCTTTATGTTAGTATTGTTCTTTGTACACATCCAATTTAAGACTCAGAAGAATGACATACCTTGGGTGAGGTAACTGAAATCATTCTGATTTTATGAATAAAGAGCATACATGGTCACATATAGAAGCACTGGCTTCATGGGTGTGAAACCTGTGCAGTTGCACGGAGCTCTTGTCTGAATGGTCTTATGCACAGTTCAATACTCTCTGCCACTACCATCTTAAATCTTATGTACACGGAGTCTTGAATTTAGATTTTATACTGAATTTGTAAATTATGGAGACTGCACTGGTTTGTGGAATGAAATTGATGCAAGGACACACACACAAAAACTTGACTGTCAGATTCAAGGAAAGAGCATCAGGATTCTCACAGCCATCACAATGTCCTTTTCATTAGCAGTGCTGCCTGGAGTCTCAGAGTGGATTCTCATCTTCTGAGTTAGTCGTTTCACATTTTGCAGCTCTTCAAGGCCCATCAACTGCAAGCCTTTTAACACCATTTGTAATACTATGTGAGAGGCAGTGAGATACTCAACCTTTATTTTTCTCTCTATTGAAAACAACACCTTCTCTAACTTTTGCCAAGTGTTTTTGCCTGGGAACAAATGACTAGCCAGAAAACCAATCCTAGGGCACACTCATTTTGTAGGGAAGATGGCAGTGTGTTATTGAAACAGATGGAATTTCTAAGCCTGACTGCTTCACTCTGAAATAACAGGGTCATTAGGAACAAGCAGAGTGCACATGGACGTTTAGAACAGTGTCCAAGTTGCTTATCTATATAAATAAAAACTGTAAAATATATTATGAGCCCATATCCTGGTATTGTGCCCCTATAACTCTATCAGAGATTAGCTGTAATCTTGTACACTGGAAAGATAGGAAGGAAATGAAGTTAATTTGCCTTTAGCTGTGTAAAGTATTCATTTTAGCAAGTGACATATTTTAGTTCTCCAGAGATGCATCTTATTACTACTGTTAGACAAACTCTCCTCAGGCAATATGTTTGAGACATGCCCAAAATAGAAATAGAAATATGTTTGAAAAGATTTGTATACTTTTCCACAATATCTGAGACAGGAAAGACAGGACTAGTGCACATTTCAGGTACAGTACACCTCCTTTTAGAACATAAACAACAAAGTAACAAAAAGTAAGACAAAATTGGTCACAAAATGTTTTCCAACTTTATATTTAGATCTTTATCTAAGATTCTTCTAAGTTTTTTAAAAATATACATGGCATAAAGGACCTCTAAATGCTTTCATATTGAAAAAATTTCCTGAGGCAAAGCCAAGTTTGTTTTGTGCAAATTCAGCAACAGTGGTACCCCTTGGCTGCAGGTCTTCTCACCTCCTGCTTTGGCAATGTTGTGCAGCCTCCTTGGTGAGGTCTATTTCCTCCCAAGGGGCAAAGAGGGTGGGAATTCCTGATCTACCTCTGTACCACAGTAATCTAACATCTATGCTTTTATCCTAATATTGAAACCTTGAAATTTACAGTCCAAATATAATACTTGTGAAAAGGCAAAAAAAAAAATAGCATGATGGAAAAGAGCTTCCTTAACTATGTAGTATATGCAAAAGTACATTTTAATGGTTAAATTCACATGTAAATGTCATTAATGTTAGAATCTGAGCTTTTTTGTCCATAATGTATCCTTCTCAAATAGATCAACTTAACTATCAGATTCAAGAAAGAATAAATTACTTTTTAACATGGTTTTTAACATCTTTTTTAAAAAAAATATTTATTTTTTTTCTAGTTTTAGGTGGACACAATGTCTTTATTTTTTATGTTTATGTGGTGTTGAGGATCGAACCCAGCGCCCCGCACATGCCAGGCAAGTGTGCTACCGCTTGAGCCACATCCCCAGCCCCTTAACATCTTTTTAACGTGGTGTTAGTTACTCCAACAAATACCTACTGAATGAGTGAATAGGACTGAGTAGAAAATATAAGGGTCTAAAGACATATATTTTTCAGATATTTATGAAAAAATTTATAATTAACCCCAAATCCCATTCAGGATTATTGTAAAATTTCTGGGCATTGGAAATCAAAATTCTGATTATTTATAAATGCAAAATAGCAGAAAAGAATTTTCAGTTGCACCAGATTTGCTTATCTATTTATACAAACTCAGAAGTATCCAGTATATGCCCATGGATTTTATCAAACAGAAATGTTTATGTGTATTTTATATTTGATAAATTTATTTTTAATCAAAATTAATAATTGTATGTATTTACAAGGAAAAACTGCATAACCATATGTAGTATCGATATGTTAACATATCCATAAGCTAACATATCCATCACCACTTCAACTATTTTATTTATGGTAAGAACATTCAGAAATTGTTTTTAGCAAATTTAAGGTATATACTACATTATTATTAATTATAGTCACTACATATTGCTCTCATATAACTGAAAAATTATACCTTATTTCATGTCCCCTTTTCCCATCTTCCCCCCCAACACAACTGCGGGTAATCACCTTTCTCCTCTATGAGATTAACTTTTTTAGATTTCAAATATCACCCCATATCTGTTTTAGTGATGATTATCAAAAAGAATATTTTTGACATGTAAGATCAAATAAAGATGTATGGTAATAGTTTTATCAGCGTATTATCAAGCTATAAAAATTATAACAAGGTTTATAATATAGAAATTATAGACGATTAATGCAGCGTGATACAAAAAGATGACAGAAACTCTTGTTATACATGAATACTTAGGACAAATACTATTTTACCTTAATAGAGGAAACAGTGATTTATTCAGTAATTTATTCTAGTTGGCTATGCAGTCTTTAAATAGGTTACAAACCCCTTATTATATATAAAAGATTTAAAATCCATGTAAGTAAACTTAAGGAAATGTACCAAATGTACCAAATATACCAATCTTTCTTTAGTGCTATGTCCACCAAAAGAAATACACATGTATTTATAGCAATAGTATTTACAATAACCCAGATTAAGCTTTACATTATAGGCAAGAGGTGTCCACCAAAGTTACCATTGAACTAGGGGATTGGTCCTATCCTCAGGTAGGTTATTATTGTAGATATATAAAAGAGCAGTTCTGCAGATTCATATGAGGTTGTCAGTAGGATCCTTTCCTAGCACTGTCATGGGGACAGTTGTTTACTTAGACTACATACACTCTTTTTTTGTACAATGTATATTTAATATTTTGTTATTTTTTTCATTTATATATTTTGCTATTTAGGGACCACTTATTGGTGTGCTTTCAAGGCATTAAGAACTTTATAGTCTTTGATTTCTTTCAGTCTGATAAATTCATTTCTGACTATATATTAATTGCCTTTTAGGCTTACTTGTGTTTATATAACTCTCTTTTTCTCAAAGTCAAATTTGGAAATAACAAGCTTTTGGGGTCAAGTTATTGAACTTTCTGAAGTCTACCTTTTCTACGGTGTTTTATGATGTTGGGTTTAGATAAGAATTTTTATGAGGTATTCAAAGTATTCTTAGAATTATTCTTAAAAAAGGGAATATTTTTCCATTCAAGATTCTTTAAGTAATAAGTGATCAGTGCTTTACAGTGCCTTATTTGAGTATTTGAAGTCATTAAAAAGACAAGAAAAATAAATTCAATTTTAATACACTTGTACCTTCTTATCAAGAGGTATAATTTTTTCTTTGCCTATGCAGGGTTTTAGTAGATACAATTGGAATTTATTCAGATACAACAGTTGACCTTCAGATAAAGATCATTTAACATGGGTGTGAATTAATCATTGGATAATTTGTAG